AAGGCGCCAAGATAAGTTCCCAAATGTCAGGAGGGATGACATCACGTGTGTGGGTCTAACTACTCACACATGATAACGTCGTCTTCTCTTCAACAACACACACACACATATGCTTTTTGATTGTGTGTGCTCAATCACTTTAAAGAGCGTGTGTCAGGAGGAAGAGCGACACATCTGTGGACTTCAGCCATGCAGAGACTCTCCTTTTTTAACACGGCTCAGCAGCTCCGTCTGCAGGTTTTTTGTCTTCATGTTCAATGTGTCTGAATCAAAAACCCTTTTTGAAACTAACGCTAAAGCGTATATTTTAAGGAAAGGAGTGAAAATTAAATCAAATCCTTTCTGAGCTTTGATAATTACAGAGCTCAGAAAGAGAACAACACATCAATAATCATACATGCCTGTGGTAGTGTGACGGTCTGGGGTTGTGGTCGATGGAAAGCTAACATTAGGCACCTCTGAGCAGCTCCAAACAGGAGCATAAGATGAACTATAGGGAGTGGCCTAATCAAAGTTTGGACCTAAATCTGATTGAAATGCTTTTAACATACCATAAATGCTTGGAACCTCTCCAGAAAAGAAGAGTGGGCCAAAATACCTTAACAACACTCACTGGCAGTCATTGCAAATGCTGGATGACAGTTGTGGCTCTCCAGGGTCGAACAAGCAGTTGTTAGCTTCAAGAAGCAATTGCTTTTCACACAGAGCAGGGCTAGTTTGGAAAGCATTTACTTTCATCAGATAAAATAGTGATTTGGAAACCTCCTTTTCCCTTTTTATTGTATGTATCCTTTAAGCAATAAACTGCTTAAAGAAGAGCCTTTCTGACAAACATTTGGCAAACTTTTCAAGAGCCACATATTTTCTAGTGTTTAAAATGTAATATGCTAGCCATGCTAGTATGCTCACCAAGGCATTTTATAATCCAAATTGTATTTTGACACCAAGAACTTCTGGGTACATGGAAGACTGAAAAACATCTTTAATATGTTCAGCTCATGGAAAAACTTTGTCATTGTAATGAAGAAATAGTATGAGTGTAGAGCAACTATTAGCCTAAAACAAAACATTCTCTTTCTATGTTTTGAATGTGCATTCTGCAAATTCCTCAAACTTTGCTTTTTTGTAACAGTTCACTCTTCCTGATGATTAGCTTAAGTGTATTTAATTGGCCCCACATGTTGCAAAGGGACTTTTTAATTATTTCACAAGCAACAAGAGAAAAATTTTCACTTTCTGCAATTAATGGAAGGTTTTGTGAAAGAGTGATGACGCAATGTCATTTGTTATTCATCTAGAATTGTATTTATAACATTTTAGAATATTATAAGGACATAAGTTTTATTTTCTTTTATTTTATACCTGAAATTAATGCATTTATCAAATATGACAAAACTAGAACATCTTTGTCCGAGAGCACCACAACCAAAAGTTAACATCATTTTAAATTGCCACATAAAATATTATTTATCTTTTTTTTTTTTTACTCATCTTCAGAACCCAACCGAAACAGCAAAACATACTAAAAGATAAGGTGAATTATAAACAATAGTTGGAGTCACACATTTTTTTAACTACTCAAAACCTGAAAAACACAAAATTAATAATTTTCTATATTTTCAAAATTTTTAATAAGCAAATAAAAAAACTTACATTGCTATTTTTACAATTTAAGAGAAATTGATGACTGTGTAAAATCTAATATTCCATGTATTACTATTTTATCTGCAAACTCCCAAAATGCGATTATCTTCAAAAATAAAGATTCAGAATGTAATGCTTTTAATGTAACAGGTTTGAAAGATGAGTTATAAACTTTAATGTATCTTGGTACTTTTTGGACTTACTGGAAAGTTCAACTCCAGAAAACAACAAAAAAAAGATCACAAACGTAATACAGTCAGTAAGTCTGTGAGTATTTATGAATAAAATGTGCCAGCTCGCTTCTTACTCATAGTAACATTATAATTACAATTACTGAAAACGATGTCCCTCTGAAAATATATTAAAAGGTAGTTGGGCATCGCACAGGCATGTTACAGACGACACTGGATTCTTAACTGAGTCCCCAAAAGAAGATTAAAATTGAGTTCTGGGTGTTTTCCATTCAACACTCAGAGCTTCTGCTGCTTTCTTTGTCTTTTCAGTCTGTCCTCTACTTGAATTTGTATTTGTGTTTTTATTTTTTGTAATAATTTCTGGCTAAACTAGGCCTAACCACACATTGCGTCCTTTTAGTAGCAAAGATGCCGCTCATCATGCTGGTACAACAGAGCACACTGATGTTTTGCAGAGCAATCAAACACAGTAAGGAAAAGAGTCTCACCTGCTCAAACTGCTTGAGTGTGTGAGGCTGAAGAGGAGGAGAGTTGTCTGCTTCATCACTACACAAATCTAAACAAGAGAAAGCAGTCAAATTAGAAAAAAATTACCAAAAAAACAACTAAAAAATAAAGTTATAAAGTTTATCTTTTTTTACATGCGGCTGATTAAATAAAGGTTTACCTGTCATGTGACCTGCGGGCTTAGATGATGAATTCCCCTCCCCAGTACTGTTAGAGGAAGAATGAATAGATAAGCAGAGAATGCACTGAAAAGTCACTCATGCACCTATCTATTAATCCACACTATTTTCTAAATTAAGCAAATTGCACAGGATAATTAACAGCTGACCATTCTGCATCCAGGAAGAATACATTTTGAATTAAAATGCAACAATTACTTTTCACTAAAACAGCAGGATGTCTTTTTTAAACTTAGGGTTGTAAAGCTCATTGGGGAGTCTCAGCGGGGGAGATATGTGGTGTTTGGGGAGGTTGGGGTCAGAGTTCAAATAATCCTAAATACCAACTGCTAAGCAACCAGAACAGAAAGTTCACATCAAGGCTATGTTCTGATCATAACCACAGTTAATAGGAGAAGCAGTGAATGATAAACACAGAGATAATAGTGCCTTGCAAAAGTCTTTTCAATGTATTATATGATATGACATAATTTATAAATTGTATCATTTTATATATATAATAATACTGGAAAGCAGAGAAAGCGATGCATGGTGTTTAAAATACCTTAAAGCAAAAAAAAATCTGAGAAGTGTGGTAAATATTTGCATAAAAGCATTAGCCTGAGTTAATACTTTCAGAAACATATTTTGATGCAGTTTGATGTGGGTTTTTCTAAAATTTTTACATAGCCAGAGATTTGCGTTTTTTCAGCCAGATAAGATGGAGGAACTGTAAATATTGATTCTCAAGCCTTTCCACAGATTCTTGTTTAGATTTAAGTCTGGACTTTGACTAGACCAGACAGACCTGATGAACCACCCCTGCCTCAAATGTTTTGAAGCTTTTTTTTTTTTCCTTTCAAGATGGCTTTGTGATTGCCTGCTTTCATCTTCCCATCAACTCTGGCAAACTTTTTTCTCCCCCTGGATGGAGGAGAGCATCCCAACAGCATGCTGCTGTCACCACCATGTGCACAGCGTCATGTGCAGTGTCGGTTTTTCTCCACCCAATTTGTGTATTTCTAAAAAACAAAACAAAACGAAACAAAAAAACAAAAACAAAAACAAAAAACAATCCTTTGTGTTGGTCTATTTAAAATCCCAATAAAAAGCATTTGTGTTTTTCACTGTGATGTGGTAAAAGTTCCACGGCTGTTAAAGCTTTTGCAAGGCTGTTGATGCACAGTTAATTAAACAGAACTACTAGCCGGACAGACGCATCACAACATGCAGCAGCAGAGGCACTTGTGCACACTAATTTGCAAAGACTTTGCTAAGGTCAGAGCTCCACACCGAGCCAATGCATGGTCAATTCTCCTGGCAGCTGCTGGGCCATAAAACATAAAGACAGCTGCTGCGTGGCAAAGATTTAAAGCTTCACCAAGAAGGAGTAGAAAGGGTCTAAATGTAGCTTAAGTGTTGTGGGCTGGGCACTGCACAACTGTTTTCTGAATAAAAATATCTGCGGGGAAGCCCAGTAGTTAGAGTCCTTATTTCAACATGCTTATACTTACTCATTTGATCCCCATCATTTGTTCTGCTTTACCATTACCTGAATGTACATCACGAAGAAATGTCATCCAACCAGCTGTGTTAAGTGCAGGCCAAAAGGAGAATTGGTCCACTTTCCCTTTTACATCCTAATGTATGTCCAGTATTGCAAACTAGGTCAAATTGTGCTGCATAACATTCAAATGTAGTCCCTGTTAAAGCGTAGGTTTTATTACATCGACTAATTGAGAAACACTAAAGACAATACCGCTGTTAATGTAAAACAGCGGCATCATCAACTGCATCTGATTTATAGAGCATGCAGTGATAGAGTCGGCCACACATTGTCAGCAGAAAAGGCCCTGCTGTGTGATGTTGGGCTGAGCCAAACATGGCTGGTAATGAATAAATAAATCAGCTCCATTCTGTTGCAAAGAGGCGCTCATATTAGCCTGATCCGCGGCGTGTCAGTTGCGTGTTGTATAAAAGGTGAAATAAAATAAATTGGCCAATGAGAACGCCTCCTGTAATGTCCCCCCCTCCAGTCTTTCTCTCTCGCCTCACACATTCCGCCTCACCTCTCTGAATTTCTCCAGATTTGCTCCGGCGACGTTGAGCTCCAATCCATAAAGGCTGCTCCTTCAGTCAGCGGACGTCCATGCCGCAGAGCCGCTACCTTCAAACCGAGTCGCTCATTGCTGCCGGTGGTCGGTCACAGAGGGGCAGGTTATCTGCAGCGGCGGCGCACAGCGCAGGATGGGAGGGGGCGTGGGCGCGCTTGTGCGTATGTGTGCGTGTGAGTGTGTGTGTGTGTGTGTGTGTGTGTGTGTGTGTGTGTGTGTGTGTGTGTGTGTGTGTGTGTGTGTGTGTGTGTGGGTGTGTGTGTGTGTGTGTGTGTGTGCGGGGGTGTGTGTGTGTGTGTGTGTGTGTGAGGATGCGCGTCCCCGACCGTGTGTGAAAAAGGAGGTTAGAAGACCCCCAAAAAGAAACAGAGCACACAGACCCCTGCAAGAAATAGTGGCTTTATTCCCAAATAAAGGGTTTAAATGTCCTTTAAATCCTCGCAAACATGTTGCAGCATGCTGTTCACATCACATGTTCTAATATCAATATGCCTGAATAGACAAAATATTTCTAGAGTTTTATTAAGGTGGCATCATGTAATTTTTAAACATTTTCTTGACAAAAGTCTTTGTGGCAACAGAGAGGGGATTAAGAAGTTAGAGTCAATGAGATTAAGTCAATATCTCCATATTTTAAACCAATTGTTTTTTCTTCATATTAAAAAAAGACATTATGTGAGCTGGTTATTCACAGACAATAAGATTCACTTTTTTGGCAGCACCATCCAAAAAACAAAAAAAAAAAAAAAAAAAACCTAATCTCAGAGAGCTCGTTTTCTTTTTTGTTAAATCTTCCGTACCACAGCGCCCTCTCTTGGACAGTTTCTGGCCAACGATTATTTCTGTTAATGCATTACTCAGACTAAAGTCATCAACACGAGAGCATGAGACGTTGCACTTCTCAAAAAATTACAATTTTATTTTAAGGTCAAATAATATGTTGCCTTCTTCAACCTTACAAAAAAAAAAAAAACAGGCTTTATCGCTTTTAATAACTAATAATTTTTTATCTACAGCAGCATTCATTGCTGCTGAAGTACATTCAATAACAATATTGTCCCACTTCATTAAATGAACGTCACTTAAATGGAAACAGTGATGCAGGACATCCACCCGAATTGATCAGTTCAATTTCCACCAGTACGAAACAGTAACATTAAACATTGAATTAAAATGTTTAATGTTACTGGTTGTTAATTCTTGGTTGTTAACTGATATCATCAATGTTTACACGTTTTTGTGAGAGTCTGATAACTAACGAGATATTTCCAGTTTTCTAGATTTTTTTGAACTTATACTAATTAACCAGTAGATGGCAGCGCTGCACCGAAGAACAACACTTACCAATAAGCCCGTTGATGGGCTTATTGGTTCATTATTCCACCTCTTAAACTACATCAAACCTGAATGTTTTCAGCAGGAAGATATATAGTTTTAGATTTACACATAAATAGCTAATGTCTCATAAATAATTAATGTCCCAACTCACATTTGTCATCATATCATTAACATGACTAAGATCTCTTCCCAAAAACAACACGAGGTCCTTTCTTGGTGCTCCGAGGTTCTGTGGAGATGATCCAAATTGCAGGTGCTTTCATGAAGTCCCTGTCCACCATCTTGTTCTCCTCTGCCCGAGCCATTGCCTCCAGTTCAGGTGAGGTTTCTGGGGACCAGTCCGCCATAAACTTATCTTTGGCCTCACAATAGTTCACCACCACTTCGTCAGGCTGCTTCCCAAACAGGCAGTCTGGAAACACAGAGTGAAATAAGGGGAGACGCAATTAAAAAAAATACAATTATCTATTGTCATCAATAAACTAATAACAGAAAATACAGTAACACACCTGCAAAGTCATGGATGAGGTCTTTGATGAGGTGGCCAATGATGGCATAAAGAACAGACACCACAATGAAGACGGCTATGAGAAGATAGATGACATAGGTGGGGAGATGGACTGCATCCCGAGAAGGAGGAACATAGGACTCATAAAGCACTGTGCCATCTTCGTCCCTGTAACGAATGTTTAGCCTCTGCAATGGTACATCCATTGTTGTGTTGTTGCCTGTTTCTAGTCAGTGAGTTCACTCAGTATCTCAAACCCATTGGTGCTCGAAGCCTCCAGCATGAGGATTCAACCTGCCAGTGTTTTCCATTAAAAAAGAAAGAGAAAAAGAAATCATCACCATCAAACCCTTAAAACACAAATCCTTGTGTGCGGCAGACCTGCATTTTGAAGACACCTGGAAAAAGCAAGCAGCATAAACGTTCTTACCTTAACAAGTTCTTTATTTCTGACGTTGCTACGGACAAACCATATTGCTGTCCATGGAAGCAGCACTCATAACAAGATAAGCTGCAGAGGCTTGAGGTACTTTGCTCCACGTCAGCAGAACGTCTCAGAGCTCATCCATCTATCTATCTATCTATCTATCTATCTATCTATCTATCTATCTATCTATCTATCTATCTATCTATCTATCTATCTATCTATCTATCTATCTATCTATCTATCTATCTATCTATCTATCTATCTATCTATCTATCTATCTATCTATCTATCTATCTATCTATCTATCTATCTATCTATCTATCTATCTATCTATCTATCTATCTATCTATCTATCTATCTATCTATCTATCTATTAATCAATCTATTAATCTATCCATCCATCCATCCATCCATCCATCCATCCATCCATCCATCCATCCATCCATCCATCCATCCATCCATCCATCCATCCATCCGTCTGTCTGTCATGTACAATAACTCCTGGTGTTTATGTATATGGCAACCAATAGCATGTTAGCTAGTTTACTAAATATTTTGTTAGTTTATTTAAAAATAACTTGTCTTTGGATTAATTTTTTTCACTTGTTTGAATGAATGATGGGAAGACATTGTTCATCTAGACTGAAAAGTATATAACATGGATGATATTGGCTGCACAGGGTTCACGGTCTACAGAAACAAGATCACCAGTGTCACAGCGACCTGTCTGTTACAGTTAGCTGTTTGTTTACCGAAAGATAACTTCAGTTCAACTTTCTGCTGTGATTTCAAAGTATTATGAAAGGACATAGTTTATCTGGGCATAATAATGGCCTTATTAATAATGTATTTTATTAATAAGGTTCTTGTAAAGCTAACTAGACAGCTAGCATTTAAAAAAATAAAATGAAATACAGTCGGTGGTCAATATGTAATGTGGACAGTACAGTAATCCCTGACCTTTATAAATAGGGCATCGGCTCTGACACAAGCAGGTATTAGAGGAAGATAAGATGGATTAATGAAAGAAGACAAGACACAACAAGTCATTTATATTACTAGTTTATTTACCGGAACAATGCTTAGTTCACCTGGACAAGGAAAGTGATCCCTTTGGTTTTCAGTAACATGTGATAAACATTTTTTTTTTAAATGCGTAGATTTTCATAATTTTCCTTTCTACTTTGTCAACAATTGCTTTTGAAACATTTGTGACGAACAAAGAACTTACATCTGAAATCAATCGATATTCACATAATAAACTATTATTTTACACTTCTTATATTACATAATGACATGGTGGATCTTGACTGAGCTTATGGATACAGGGTGCGTTAACCTACTTACTCTAATTAAAAATGAAAATAAAAGAGAGCAAGAAAGAGCACAAACTATCACTACACATATCTTATTTGGCTACAGCAAGGAAAGTACTGCAAACACACACTGCATTTGATTAAAAACTGATCTGAGCTGCTGCTGAGATGAACTGATGAAAACTCAGAGAGAGGTGACAGAAGGGGCAACGGGGCAGGCGAAGGTCACACTATGAGTTGACATCCTTTTCTCTCCAGGGTAAGATGAAGTGATGGCACTTCTCAGCGGAGGAGGGGGAGATGGGTAGTGGCAGCCCCCGTCTCCCTGGTAGAAGCCCGGTAGCAGGATCTCTCTTTCTTTCTCCATCCTCAGCTTATCTCCAAACTCCATCAGGTTACTAGAAATGCTGAGTCGCCGTTCCTCCTCTATTTCTGCCTCATCTCTCTCCGGATCCTCCTCCACTGGTTTAGGCCCAAATATCCAATCTGTCAATATAGAGCAATATGAAGTTAAAATTAAATACATTTTCTTATTTCTTATCTCTTTAAATTTTAAGGGGGCACTTAGGTGACATTAATGCTTGCTTTACTTACTCAGTCTGCAAGAAAAAGGTAAGATCACCTTGTTGCAGAAATCTAAAAAAGATGCTAATCTTGTATTTTCTCTTCAAAAATTTTGACATTCATTTGAGCAAATAATTTATATAGTATAGTACTTCAAAAGTGCCTCTTTAAGATCTCATTTCAGCAAATTACACAACTGTTAGGTTGTATCATTCACCTTAAAGGACAAGCAATCACATAGTGGTGGAGGATGGATGACCACTGCACACAAAACACAAGGTACATGTGAAGGAAGAATAACATGTTGAAGCCAAAGCTTGTGGGTGGAAATGATTTAACGTCACCACAAACACATAATTGGTGGGAAGGTAATCGGTTCACAATGTTCCCACAGTCGGGTTACCTGCCAGGTCATGCATGAGGTCTTTAATCAGGTGACCTACTATGGCGTAAGTGGCCACTACAATCAACACCGCCCCAACTAAGACGTAGACTACACTGCGAGGCAGGGTGATTGCGTCTCTTGCTGGGGGGATGTAGTCCACGAAATAGGCGTCTTCTTCCTCTTTCCGTCTGGAGAACTGGAGGAGATGTCGATGCTGGAACACCAGCTGTGTGAGGTTCAAAAGTTGACCTCTTCCTGAGTTCAGGGGCAAATATGGCAACGTGTACATGGCTTTTGACACTTTGCTAACAGGATTGTCAGATGAAAGAAAGTAGTGAGGCTTTAAGGCTGTTCCTTTTGGGGACGATGCGTTTCTTCTCTGCACTGTAAATATTCAGAAAGAGGTTGGAGGAAAACTGGACATCAGTGAAACTAAACATTTTCAGCAGCTGGGGCAAATAAACAATTTAGGAGGAGGGTCGCAGTGCTGAGGAGGCTTGTAAATAAACAAACGTCTTTTCGTGGTGAGAGTTCCCTGGATGTGAACGTTGTACCGGTTCTTATATTTTTCAGAGACATAAAATCTGGCATTGCTCTTCCTACTCACATGAGACTTTCTAGGTGCCCTAGGAGCATGAAACTGAGAAGCAGGGGGAATGTAGGACAGACAGAGTTAATAGGATTGAGTGAGTCATAGACCAATATCAGCTTTCCATCTGCAGGGATTAATGATATCTGCGAGTAGAGGTGGATAGTAATGCGGAAAAGAGGCTTATGGTCATAAGTGACCGGGCTGCACACAGAGATACTTACAGTGTCTTAGAAAAGGATTCATAACTTTTTAACTTTTACACATTTTTTTCACACAACTGTACATAAATTTCGATATATTTTGTTGGAATTTAAAACGAGTAAGTCATTGTAATGTAGGGAGCAAGTTGATTTTCTTATAAATAAAAATCTAAAAAAACTGGAAAAATTAAAAACAAAGACAGCCATAATTTCAGTTTATGACAGTAAACATGAGGAAGAAGGTGAGCTGATTAGATGACTTTAATTATTTGACCTGCATGCCGTGGGTGGTGGAAAAAAAGTAAACACATCAAACACAAAGTGAAACATGGCGGCGGCATCATCATGGTGTGGGATACTTCTCTTCATAGACACTGGAAAAACTGGTCAGGGTTAAAGGAATGATGCTCAGAGCAATATAGAGGACAACCATGAAGGAAAGTCGGTTGGAAGCTGCTAAAGAGTTTCCAGGGTGGAGGTCTGACTTCCAGCAGAGCAACCCTGAACCAAAGGTTTAATTCAAAAATACATTTTTTGTTACAATGACCCGGAGAGAGCAAAATCTAAGAATCTGGTAAAACTTGAAAATCTATTCAACCCTAAAGCTGGTAGAGGTTTCTCAAAAGACCTTCTGTCACATATAATCTTATTTGACAATGAAACACTTTGGATTTTTGTACCACCTAACATCCCAGTGTAATTTTCGTGACTTAAATGTAAAAACAGTTTGAGAAAAAGAAAATTTTCCCACAGCTTTAAATAAATAAATAATTGCCTTGTATTCATCTTGAATTCCTCTTAGACACAACAGGTCTGCCTCTGGTGTGTTGTGATAATTTGACATCATGTCAAATTATTTTAATATCACACAGTGATTCATAACTTCTTACAAAGCCCAATTCTGCCTCATGAAATGTTAGAAAAGAGCAAAAAAAAAGTCACCATGCTGTCCCACATGAAGAAAAATGAAAAAAAGAGATGGATGAACTTACCAGTGGTTAGAAGAAATCACCGCTGCTCATCTTTTTGCTTTGATCAGACTCCAAACTGGCTTAAACTCTATAGTGGTATCTCTGGAAGCAAAGACAGAAAGGACAGAAAACGGTGAAGGTCAGGTAAACAAGAGTTATCGTGGTGAAACTCTGACTATTTCTGCTTTTCCCCACAAGAAAAGCAGTAATTTCTTTTGTCCTCACAGATCTATGTGCCGGATCTCTAAGAAGAGGCTGGCGTCGTCTCGGGTTTAGACTCTCCCTCTTTTGGCAACTGCAAATTCTTGAAAAACTGGCGAGTGAGAAACTGCCACTCAATGACGGTGATGCTAACGTTAACGAAGAGAATGAACCAGGAGATTGGGTGCATGCCATAGTAAAAGACGGGAGCCATGAGCAGAGGTGAGGAGACGACAGGGAGGTCAGGCAGAACCAGCGGCCAGCAGGCTATTAGAGGCTATTAGAAGAGCAACGCTTTGTGAGTGCCTTTATCAAGGTGTTCTTCAGTAATCCTTGACAGGATTTGGTTGGCATAAACTCACAGTCACCAGCTCTTCGTTGAGTCATCAAATGACAGAATAGAGAGGTTCATTTCAGGCCACCCTAACAAACCACTACCAATATGAGAGACGATAAGGGAAGAAGACTTCATTAAAATTACCTGTTAGGAAGCTTTCTGGTGCATTTACTTGAAAAGACAACTTTCCCCAGGTACAAAAAAAAAAAAAAGAAGCTGAAATCAGAACTAATTCTTCTCCACAGAAAGCGCTACAAGCTGAACAGCCCTTACAGACTAGTCTTAAGCAAAAACAGCATCCAGTCACTCAGTCGGGCGCATCCATGCTGCGGCGCTCAGGCCGGGGTCACTATCTTCTTTGGCTTGTCCTCTGGCTCTACCATCCACTTTAGGTAAGCGTCACCCAGGATGAAGACCCAGTAAAAGACGGTCAGAGATGTGTTTACGGTCATGATGCCGATGATCAGAGGATGTATCATGGTGGCAGTCTGGGTAACACCTCCAAAAAAAACTGTGTCAAATCAGATGAAACAAAGTGTGTCTGGTGTGTGGGTACAGAGTTGAC